CTGTTTTGCCAACCCAGCTTGTGATCCTCTACCATGCTTCCTTTGCTTATTGTAGACCTGCATTGCATGTGATCTATCATTACCCTCCCTAAGAAGTGCCACCTTGTCCTCAAGATGGAAAGAGGGAAATTCAGTATTGAGAGTGTGGAAGTCCTCCCAAGTGCTCTCAAATCCCGGTAGTCATTTCCAGTCGATGAGAACTTCCCATTGCCCATTCAGTAGTTTTCGTTGGGTTCCACATTCAAAACTAAGTTTTTGTTGAGGTTATTCGGAAGGGGCTGGTTGTTGGGAATTGGAAAAATGGCTTTCTTCAATTGAGACACATGGAAAACATCGTGTATGCAAGCTGAGAGAGGAAGATCTAATTGGTAAGCTGCTGCCCGATTTTGTTTTTGATTACAAATGGACCATAAAATCGTGGGCTAAGCTTTTCATTGTGGCGCCTTGCTAAAGAGTGTAGCCTGTATGTTTGAAGTTTCAAATAGGTTGAGTCCCCCACCTTAAAATTGACTTCTCGTCTCCTTTTATTCGCATACATTTTCATGCGATTTTGGGCTTGAACTAGGTTGTTCTTTAAGTCTTGGAGAATGTAGTTGCGATCCTGGAGTTGGTGGTGGACTTCATCAACTCGAGAGGAATGATCTGTGTATTTTAGTACCACCGGAGGGTCATGACCATACAATGCTTTAAAGGGAGACATACCTACCGATACACTAAATGTGGTGTTGAACCAGAATTCTGCCCAAGGTATCCATTTTGGCCATTGTTGTGGCTGGCCATTGACAAAGCACCTAAGATAAATTTCTAAGCAACGATTTACCACCTCTGTTTGCCCGTCCGTTTGTGGATGATACGCAGAACTCATGTGGAGCTGGGTCCCCGATTGGTGAAATAATTCTCCCCAGAAATGACTCATAAAGATCCGGTCTCGATAAAAAACGATCGATTGTGGAAACCCATGTAGGCGGACTATCTCCTTAATAAATACCTCAGCAACTTCCTTAACGGTGTAGGGATGCTACAATGTGACGAAATGGCTATATTCAAGAGATGATCGACCACCACTAGGATAGTATCTAGCCCTCTAGCCTTTGGAAGCCCTGAAATGAAGTCCATAGATATATCCTCCCAAACTTGATTCGGAATGGGTAGTGGTTGCAACAATCCCACATGACTCAAGGCCTTGTATTTGTTCTGTTGGTAGACAGTGCAAGCTTCCACAAAATTCTTGATATCTTTTCTCATCCCCTCCCAATAAATCACATTGCCAATGCGTTTGTAGGTTCTAAAAACCCCAGAATGCCCCCCCATAAGTGAAGAATGAAACTCATGTAGAAGGTTTTGTATGTGAGGGCCTATTTTAGGGACTACTAACCTACCCTGATAGTGTAAGTGATGGCCCGCCAGTTGGAAGGGAGGTTGGCCATTTGGATCGATCAAAAGTTGTTGAATAACGTGACAAAGTTTCTCATCCTTTTGAATAGCTTCTTCTAAGTCCTTCATACCTACAAAACAACCCATGGTTATGGCATTATGTTTCGCCTCTTCTTCTCTGCGAGACAGTGCGTCAACAACCTTATTTTCTGCTCCCGATCGATACTATATTACAAAATTCAATCCTAGCAGCTTGATGACCCATTTCTGTTGACTTTCACTCAACAATTTTTGGTCGGTCAGGAAGCGCAGGTTCTGTTGGTCTGTTCGGATAACAAATTGCTGTCCCAGGAGGTAATGACGCCACTTTTGAGTGGCTAGAACCACGGTCATGAGTTCCCGTTCATAGAATGACTTTAACTGAGACTTCATCGACAACCCTTTACTTATGTATGCGAGTGGCCGTCCTTCTTGCATCAAAACTGCCTCTAATCCATTACCTGAAGCATCTGTTTCTATCACAAACTTTTTGGAAAAATCAGGCATAGCTAGAACAGGAACGCTAGTCATAATCCTCTTCGAATGCTGTTTGGGCTGCTTCGTTCCATCCGAAAGCATCTTTCTTAATTAAAGCTGTTAGGGGTGCTGCGATCTTACCGTAATCTTAGACAAAACGCCGATAGTAGTCTGTTAAACCAAGAAACTCACAGAGTGCTCTCACATTCTTTGATACCTGTCACTTGATGATGCTCTCTATCTTGGATGGATCGCAGCTATGCCTTCGGCTAAGATGACATGCCCCAAATACTCTATCTGTCGCTGCCCGAACAAACATTTTTTTCTGTTCACTATCAACTGATGTTCCAGTAGAATCTGAAGGACAGTTGCCAAATGTCCCGAGTGCTCGTTCATCCCCTTGCTATAGACGAGTATGTCGTCGAAGAAAACAAGTATAAACCTGTGCAAGTGCAGCCTGCAAATTTCATTCATTTAACGCTTGGAAAGTGGATGGTACGTTTGTTAATCCAAAGGGCATAACCAAAAATTCATAATGTCCTTCGTGAGTCTGGAATGCCGTCTTGTGGGTGTCTTTAGGGAGGACTCGTATCTAGTGGTAACCTGACTTCAAGTCCAGTTTAGAGAATACCGACGCTCCTCCTAGTTCATCAAACAATTCATCAATTGCCAGAATCGAAAACTTATCTGGTACTGTAATTTTATTCACGGCCCTGTAGTCAACTCAAAACCTCCATCCACCATCTTTCTACTTCACTAGTAGCACCGGACTTGAAAACGGACTCACACTGGGTTTTATGATCCCGGAAGCCATCATCTCTTTAACAATGTGCTCTATCTCATTCTTTTGATAGTATGAGTATTTATACGATCGAAGATTTAGGGGTTGGGTTCCTGGCACTAATGGAATTGAATGGTCTTGAGTTCTAATGGGTGGTAATCCGGCCAAGGGTTCGAACACCTGTCCAAACTTATCTAGCACCTTTACCAATTTTTCGTCAATTCTCTCTTTGTTTCCTGTTTGTCTCTAAGTCTCCCCAAACTCCATTAACACTCCCTGTCCTTCCCTCTGTACAGTCTTAATCATGGCCTTCAGAGATACTAGTGTTTTGCTTAAGGGAGGATCACCTCGTAGTTGTACCATTCGCTCTCCTGATCTGAACTTCATAGTCCGCTTCTTTCAATTAATTACTGTCTCCCCTAAAGTCTCCAACCACACCATCTCGAGTACTACATCAACGCTCCCCATTTCAAATGGAAAAAAATCTTGAACCACAACCATTCCTTGTAATTCCAGTGGAACCGCTTTACATTCCCCCTAACATGTCACCCAATAACCATCTCCCGCTCTGACTCTGAAAGACGGGGTTGTAACCACTGGTAATTCCAACCTACCCCACTGTCTCCAAACCAATGAAATTGTGGGAAGCCCCACTATCAATCAACACAATTAATTCCTTACCGTGGACACTCCCTTTAAGCTTCATCGTTTTTAGCCCTTGTATTCCCACCACCGAGCTAATGGATAGCTCCACATGGCTTTGATTTTGTTCAACTACAACTTCCTCCTTTTCCTTTTCTTCCTGCAGCTCTGGATCCTCATCTTCTCCCTCAAGTAAAACAATCTGAAACTATTTCTCACTACACCTATGCCTAGGTGAAAATTTTGCATCACATCTATAACACAATCCCTTTTCTCTCTTTCTATGGATCTCGGATTCTGTTAACCTCCAGAAAGGAAAATCTCCCTAAAAGTTGGAAGATCTGAAGGTGTTTGTTGGAGTTGACGCGTAACTGGAGTTGTTCTCGATGGAAGCACGCCTAAAATTTGTGTTTTGGGTCTGAATTTTCGTGTTGAATGTTGAATGTGTTTGGGTTATGTGTGTTTAGGCTCCTTTTTGCTCTTCCATTCTAATTGGGTTTAAGTTGAAACGTGGGCCATTACTAATTCCCCCAAACTTCCTTTGTCGACCCAACACTCCTTTGGCCTCTTTCAAGACTGAATTTCTTTCTTCCACTCTCTGGGCTAGAATTGCAATTTAAGTTAAAGAATTTGGGTCTGGCTGACCCAAAATATTTGGTTGCTAGAGCTTCATTTCAGCTCGGATCTCAGGTTGTAACCCGTTCAAAAACGCTGCAAAAAGCGCATCCTCCCTTTCTCCTACTGTCATTGCTGCAATTTCTTCAGACCGCCGACAGTAGTCCAGCACAGTTCCCGTCTACTCGTCGACATAAGAAGTTCCAGCGGGCTGATTTCCTGTGCAGTGTTGAATCTCTGCAAGAAAGCTACATTGAACGCAACCCACGTCAGTCTCAGTGTCATGGATTCGTTCCATTGATACCAATGGAGGGCCTCCTTTCCATGCACAACGCCGTGGAGAGGACCTTGCTCTCATCGGCAACTTGGTTAAGGGCGAAGTACCTTTCCACGTGAAAAACCCAGCCATACGGATCTTCGCCCAAAAAAAAGTGGAAGCTCTAATTTTCTGCCTCCCCACTCTTGTCGGTTTCCCCCTTCGTGGTGGTGATAGCCTCCGTGGTGAGGAGGAGGTGGTGGTGGTGGTTCATCGCGGTGGTTCCCCGTGCCTAAGTTGTTGTCTTCTTCATGCCCAGAAGACATACCCCACCATCCTCCGGCGAGCCTCTTCCTCAGTCTTCTGTCGTCTTTCTTCTTCTACTCTATGGTGAGGTTCTTCCTGTTCGTCCTTACGCCTCACCTAGTTTTGCACATCCATCATTATCTCCCTCATGGATGCCACTGTTTCTATCAACTTGGAAATGTCTCTCTTCACCCTAGTAACTTCCTTCTCAACAATGTCCATTCTATTTTCCATTCGAGTACTGACCATACCCCAGGAAGCAACCTCGCATTGACTAATTGATAGGATTTAGCAACTCAACAAACCCAGCAACAAAATGTAACAGTTAAAATAGAAAAATGTTAACAGAATATTCAACAACAGAAGGTTGTATTTGAATGATTCAGACTGTCTATTACATTTGGAATTGCAAAAGATAACCAAAATAAAAGTTTACTACGTACTCAATATTAAAGACTCAAAACACTCAAACAGATTCAAAGAAAAAAATAAACACTGCTGTGCTTCGAGGGCCAGCTGCCTCCCAAATTTTCTTGTCCTCTCTTCTGCCTTTCCCTGACGATCTGCTCTCTTTTTGTAATGCCCAGTATAACAAAATGTTGTACTGCTCCTCTCCCATATTGCCATCTGTCTAGTATTCCAATAACATAATGTTGTACTGCTCCTCTCCTATATTGCCATTTGTCTTGTGCTGACTGTCCTCTGTCATGTTGCCATCTGTCCTGTACTGTTTTGCCAGCCCAGCTTGTGATCCTCTACTATGCTTCCTTTGCCTATTGTAGACCTGCATTGCATGTAATCTATCACAGATCAACAAAGAAGGTAGAGCCATTGCAGCTGCAGTTAATGGAAATATTGCATCCTGAAACCAAATTGCATACAATATTTGTGAGAGAATGAAGGCACAACTCAACTCCTATTAAAACAAGAAAATGTTGATAACTTCCCAAATTTCAGTCATAGATAGCTCTTATTATAACAAAAAGAAAGACTTGTTCATTGTGATAACATTACAATTGCATCAGCAGAGAAGGAATTAAAGCTACTGCCTTGCTTTACAATACTATAACAGCAAAATTACCATGATATGAATTGATAATTTTACATTGATGTGAAAATCAATTATTGATTAGGAGAAAAAAAATTATTAGTACTCACAAGAAATGTTTTGCATATTCTTCACGAACTGATTCAATCACTTAAATCATGCACTCGATCTCAAACTACAACGAGAATAACTACAAAAATAATGCACTATTATCTTTTAGATATTCCTAAAGAACTGATTCAATAACGATATCCAAACAACACAGTCTCAGAATTCCAAATCAAGGAGCTCATAGTTTTTTTTTTATAAATGGCTCCCTCAAATCCCTTGGCTTGTAATTAGACCAATTATCTTATCCCAATGATCGTCCCTCTCCATGCTTATGAATAAGTGATATGCATGGGCAGTTAAGTCAATGTCAAACCAAAGACTTGAAAGTTGTATCTTGAAATGCAAGTCAAGATTGGCATGCTCAAAGCATTATATTTCAACACATGCTATAAAGAGTGATTACAAATAGGGTCAATCCTACTGAAAGGCCACAAAAGCAAAAGAGAGGGAGAGCAAAAAGAAAGTTAAAAGGAATTATTTATGTTCATTTCATTTCAATAGCATATTTATCAGGGCATATTTCATACATGTGCCTCTCAAATGTCAGAAAAAAAGAAGATGATCAAACTTACCATTGTGAATGAACGTCTCTCTGTTTCAAAAGAAAGTTTGAGCATGCCCACATGACGAACACTCACGATGAGAGTGTTTCTTTTCTGGGATTACTTTTTGCATACACAACATGTTATGATAGAATAAATATTGCGTGTTTAGAAACCAGAAATGTTTGAGATAATGACGCTCCGAAGGAGAATATCAACATGCTTGTAGAGGTATAGGAAGTTGGGAAAAAGTTACCTCTATGACCATTTCTTTGCTATACGGTCTGATAACCTGCATTCTTCCCTCTTAGATGTGTGTGGATCAAGCTTGGAAAGATTGTTAACAAACATTATTGCCTCATCTCTACGATTGAGTTTACAAAAACCATCTACAATGGTGTTGTATGTGCTCTGGTCTGGTTTACATCCTTGCTTGATCATGCATCTAACCACATCAATAGCCTCCACAAACAATGAATCAGCTGCATAACTTGAAACGAAGATAGTGTAGGTGATTACATCTGGAACAAGGCCAGAATCTCTCATTTCCAAAAATATCCGCAAAGCCTCTTTCATCCGACCATTTCTACAATAGGCATAAATGACAGTATTATATGATATTATATCAGGTTTCAATCCTTTTTCCAAAATTTCCCTTAACATCTCTTCAGACTTCTCAAAATTTTCAGAACGGCTGTACATATACATCAAGCTATTGTAGGTTACCAAGCTAGGAGTTAACCCACTCTCATTCATGAAGTTCAAGATCTCATTTGTTTTGGTAACCATCTGCCTCCTCCCATAAATCGAAATCATGGCATTTAGAGTGGTTATGTCAGGGGAAAATCCTTTTTTATTCAACTCTAAAAAGGCACACTCTGTTTCTATAAGTAGGTCACTTTTACTATTAACCAAAACAAGGGTCTTCAAGAGCATAGCATGAGGTTCAATCAGACCAGAGAATATCTCTTCTGCAAGAGTAAGCATCCGCTCAATCTCCTTGCCATTGGCATAAGCACGAAGCAAAGAACAGTATGTTAGCTCATTGGGTTTACACCGACCATCCTTCATTTCACCAATCATTTTCTCAGATTGTTCCCACATCCCTACCCGAGCCAATGCTGCCAAAACAGTATTGTAGGTGAAAAGATCCGGTGTAACCCCAACTTGCAGCATTCTCTTATAAACAGCCATGGCTTGGTCAAAAGAACCACAACGAATGTATGCACTAATTAGGGTGTTGAAAGTGTCACTCTCAGTAATGAACCCTGCCCTCTTCATCTTCTTGAACACACCTGACACTTCCGAGTCCATCCCATTCCGCCCAAATACTGCCAGAAGTGTGTTCCAAGTAACAATGTTCAGGTTACAATTGCATGTCTTGATCTCATCAAAAACCTTCATCATCTCCACAAACTTTCCCCTATTTCCATGCATCTTAATCAAAGTATTAAAAGTAAAAATGTCCGGCTTGCACCCTGCATTTCTCATCTCCTCAAAAACCTTCATTGCGGACTCATCCTTCCCGACTTTCTCAAACCCCGATAAGAGGGTGGTGTAAGTAAAAACGTCAGGCTTAATCCCTATTTCCACCATCTGGTTTTTAAGCTCCATCGCCTCTTCCATCAAACCAACTCTGGCATAAGCTGATATCAATGAAGTGTAAGTCACAACACTGGGTGAAAAACCATTAACCTCCATCTCCCTTAATACCTCCATGGCTTCTTTAGGCCGCCTAGACTTCCCATAAACATCCAACAAGGCATTATAAGTAATCTTATCTGGACTAAAACACGCTAATTTCATTTCCTCAAAAACCCAAGCTGCTTCTTCATGCAAAGAACCCCGCCGACAACAACTTATAAGCGTATTATAAGTATAAGAACTTGGGGCAACTCCGGCATTCTTCATTCCCTCTACGAGAGTCACAATCTTATTCCAGGGCATACCCATTTTCCCATACACATTCAGAATCACATTGTAAGTTATCAAAGTAGGTTTACACCTCTCATCCTCCATCTTCTTGAACACCATCACAGCCTCCCTATACCTCCCATTGCTAGCATAAGCACTTATCAATTCTTGATAAGCATAAACATGAATATCAATCCCATCTTTATGCAAACTACTCAACAATGAAGCCGCAGCCGAAACTTTACCTTCTTTCCCTAACATGCTAATAATTACAGATATAACAGAACCATTCAAGACCAACTCACAATCTTTACGACTCCTAAGCCACTCAAACACACTCAACGCCAAGTCACATTTCTTGTAAAACCGTAAACCCTTAAAAATACCCAACATATCAAAACTCAAACCATCAATCATTACATCTGGGTTTTCCCGATATGGCTCAAATAACTGTAACAAAACACTATCAATATCTTTCACATCAAAAGATTCATCAATTAAACATTGGAAAACCCGCTGACCTTTATCGGAGAGGCGGTGGTTTGACCAGGGTTTCCCGTGGTTAACGTCACGTGACTTCCCAAATCGGGTTCTGTTTCTGGGTATGAAAGATGGAGAGTTAAAGTGTTGTGAAGAAGTGTGCGAGGGGTTTTGTTGGTGAAGGAAGTCTTGAAGAAGAGGAGTGAAAGAGGGAGGTGGTGAAGTCGTTTGTTGTTGTGGTGATAAGGGCGTTGTGGATTGAGGATTGTGATGGTTTTGATTAAGAAAGAGCGGCTTTATGGGCGGTGGGATTGGGAGGAAAAGAGGTAGAGCTAGATGTTGTGCCATTGAAGAGACAGTGTGGAAGGTTTTAGTGGATTTGAGATTTGTTATATTATGGCTGGCTGTCGTTTGAAGGAAGATTTTTGCTCGGTGACGATATTGGGCTTGTTTGTTTTATTATTTCAAACCCTATTCTCTATCGTATTCTCAAAATACTTGTTTGTTTAATTATTTGGGAAATATTATTCTATTTTTTTAATTACTTTTAGATCCTTTAAGTTTATTAACTTAATTAAACACCTCTAGAAAACAAAGTTTAAAAATTAACAAAAACAACTCCACCCACCCATAGTTGCTAGATTCCAAAAACCACCATCAGTGGTAGTCGGAATCTATCACAACGGCCTAAAAACAACCGCAAATGACCGTTTATTCACCAATAAAGGTGGAACAAATGGGCCGGGTTGGCAGGTCAACCCTAACCCGGCCCGCATTAAAGAGAGTTCAACTCAGACCGCCTATAAGGCGGGTCGGGTTGAACCTGACCCTCATGCAACCCTCGGGCAGGCCGGGTTGTTATATGGCAACTCGACGGGTTGCTATTTTGTTTTTCTTAAAAGAACCCGCCAGGTTGACCCGTGGGTTGGTCGAAAAAAATACTTTTTTTTAAATACCCCTTTTACCCTTGAAATATAGCCGTTTTATAGCAGTTGGAGGGGTCTTTTTTGTCATTTTCTTTTCCCATTTTTTTCTATAAATAGGCCCTAAACTTTCATATTTTCTCACATCTCAAATTCTCTCATTTTCTCTAATCTCTATTGAAATCTCTTAATTATTCTCTTTGTTTGTCAATTTGCTCTCATTTTAATTTTTATTAGTTTTTGCAATTTTCAATTCATATTTCCAAATTCCAATTCTCCTTCTTTAATTTTTATATTTCTTCTATATCAATTTTTTTTTTTCTACAATGGATAGATATTTCCATCTTGTCAATTTTGATGATGAAGGAAACTACTATCCTTGTCCCCCTAAATTTACTAACATAAATGCAGTAGATTCAAATAGTCCTACTTTTCCAGTCTCAAAATCTGATACACCTCATAATATTCCTCTGATTCCTCCCCATGCTGCTATAGCTCCCGGTGGTTCTAGAAGTCGTCCTCGTAATCGTCTTCCTTGTCCAACTCCATCTCAAGTTGAAGCGGGTTCATCAACTGTTGTCGAAACCAACGACAGACACACATCAGACGTTTCGGTTCATTTCGATAAGTTTTACGAGACAGAAAATAGAGTTCAAGTGAAGAAAACAAGATGCAAGTATTGTGGTAATATTTAAAAAGCTGATTCAGGTAATAGTGCTAGTACTTTAAAAAGGTATGCTAATAAACATATTGATCAACATGGAAATAGAGAAACCAATTAAACTCAAATAACTAATATGGGTACTACTTGACGTTATAATTCTAATGTATATAAGGAACAATTAGCTTTATCTATTACTGCAACTGATCAACCTATTAATATGGCTGAAGATAAATATTGTGAAAGATTTATTAAAAATTCATTTTTCCGGGATTTAAAAGTTATTCTAAAACTGCAACTAGAAATGATTTAATAAAATTTTTTGGGATAATGAAATTAGAATTAAAAAATAAAATACATAGTTGTCATTTTAGTGTGGCTCTAACTGCTGATATTTGGAGTGGTAGAGCTAAACAAGATTATATTTGTGTGACTAGTCATTATTTTGATAACAAATGTAAATTGAATAAATCTTTATTAGGATTTAGATTAATGGATGTGGATCATAGTGGTCAACAAATTTATAATAAAATTGTTGAAGTTTTAGAAGATATGATGTTATTAATAAAGTGATAAGTTTAACTTTAGATAATGCAAGTGCTAATAGTACATCTATAGATTTTTTTAAAATTAATTATCATTTTTATAACAATTTGAAGTTTTTTCACCAATGTTGTGCATATCACATTATTAATTTAATTGTGAAAAGTGGTATGAAAACAATTAAAGATAATATTGATAGAATTAGGGATTCTTTAGCTTGGATTACTAGTAGTAATAAAAGAAATGTTGAATTTCAAGATGCTTGTATGAAATCAAATATATCTCCTAGAACTTTTGCATTAGACATACCTTTTAGATGGAATAGTACTTATTTAATGTTTGATTCATGTTTACCTTATGCAAATTTAATTAGTTATTTTGTAACAAATAATAGAGGTTCTCATTATTTAGTAGAAAATGATTGACATATAGCTAAAATATTTCAATCTCTTCTTAAAATTTTTTACCAATCCACTTTACAACTTTCTGGTGTGTATTATCCTACTAGTCCATTGATAATACATACAATTATAAAAATTTCAGAGTTATTTACAAAAAAAACAAAAACAATGAAATTTTAGCGGGACCAATAAAGGCAATGGAAATTTTTTTTAAAAATATTGGAAACCCGTTCATTTTCTTTATTGTTTAGGTGCTATATTTGATCCTAGAATTAAATTAGCAGGTTTAGAAAATGGTTTAGACACATTAACTGAAAATTTACAAAACGAAACATATGCCAATCAACTAGGAGAGGTAAGAAATTGTCTTGCAGAGGTATATTTCCAATATGAAAACAGGTATGGGAACCCGTAAAGAGGCTAAATACCCAAGGAAGTTGCATCAGAAGAAACAAATGAAGACTTCTACTCCTGGAGTGCACTTAATAGGCCGAAGAGGACCCAAATATGAAGCACAGTCTCCTCTTCAGAAGCACCAACAACGAATATACTGTCCTCCATTCAGTCATAGAGTAACGAGCTTCAACAATATTTGGGAACCCCCGAAATGTTACTAGTAGATCCACAATGAAGAGCCAACTTTGATGTCTTAGAATATTGGAAACCCAGAAAATGTATTTTTTCGGTATTATCAACACTTTCCTTGAATGTTTTCGTTGTTCATGTCTCAACCGTCTCATCCGAACAAACATTTAGTGCAAGTGGAATAATTTTAAATGAAAGGAGGACTAAACTTTCACAAAAAATGATTGAAGTCCTCACATGTCTTCGAGATTAGGAACGGTTGCGCCTTCAAGATCAATATGAGGTTGTCGACGATACTTTAATAGAATCATTTCAATTTTGTAATGTAGATGATATGGATGAGGGAGGTCCTAGTCAACCCCCAAATTAGTTGTTTTGTAAATTGTAACTTGTAAATTAATTGTCAATTATTGCGTTCTTTTTTCTTTATCAAGTTTTTGTCCCATTGGGTTTTTCTTGGTGAGGTGTTTAACGAGGCAATAATTGTTGTAATTTCTTATTTTATTTTTTAATAAATGAATAAATCTAATTTTTCTTATATTACAATTTTATTGTATTAAAATTGAATTAATATTTGAAATGTTAACAAAAAAAAAATTAATTTAATTGAATTATTGATATTTGAAAAGTTAACTAAAAACAATTACATTTATTCATTTATAAATGTTAATTATTCATTTGAAAAGTTAACTAAAGAAAACAAAACAAAAAATCAAAAAAGGGGGCTAACCCGACTCGACCCGCAACCTAACCCGGCGGGTTAGGGTTGGCGGGCCGGGCTGGGCTAGCCAACCCTAACAAGTGACAAACCCGTCAAAACCACTAGCTCGCCACGGGTTGGGTCGGGCGGGTTACTTTTCAAACATTATTCATTGATCTGGGATCTAGCCATCAGCAATAGCCAAAGAAATGGCTGTCGTTGACGGCCAACTCTTTAGCCATCTCTGACGGCTAGATCTGGCCTTTTGCGGCTGTTAATGACCAATCTGGCAGTAGATCTGGCCTTTTTCGGTCAGATCAACACACCATTGGCAAGATTCGACCGGTCTGAGTCATAATGGCAGATTCTGCCAGATTCCGGCGGCGGTGGCCGGAATCTGGCACTGTGGTAGGTGGGGGTGTTTTTGTCATTTTACAAATTTTTTACACATTGGGTTGTTTAGTTAAATTAGCAAACCTAAGGGGTTTTTTATTAATTTTTAAATTTTACCTCGTAATACTCACCCTATTCAACTACCCAATATTATTCCTAAAATCCTATCCAAAATAACAAAACAAACACACCCTGGGAGATTTGTTGTTTCATAGTTAGCTGTCGTTTGAAGGAAGATTATTGTTTAGGGAAAGTCAAAGACGATATTTGGGACCATATCCCTGTAATTAGTAATTACTTTCAAGTTTCAACACGGGAGATTCCAAATGAAGTTCAAATTTAATTAAAAGGCTACGTAGTTTTAAAGTGTTAAGTAAGTAGTTTTAATATTGATTAAGGTTAATTAAACATGATTAGTGGTTAATTAGGATTAATGAAGTATTGTGTAATCTTTTAAAAATTATAATATGTCCCAAAAAACCTGAAATTCTTGTAAACAAACCCAAACACCTCCTTCTTCTTCCTCCCACCATTTACGCATCCCTCCCCTGGTTGCTATTTCTTCTAAGCTTTATCTACATCTTCTTCTTCATCCTTCCTCTACATCTTCTTCTTCTTCCTCAGCCATTAACATCTTCTCTACCACAGATTCGCCTCCTCCTCCTACTGACACTTCGTCTAGGTATGTGTATCACCTCTTTGCATTTTATATTTCGATTTACAAAGATTTAATAATGGATTAAGTTTGGGTTATGATTTTGATTTAGTTGTTTAGGTTGTTTGGTTGTGTTTGAAGTAATGCATATTGAAAAGAGTGAAATTTGTTGAATATTTTCTTGCATTATGGGTAGTTGGAGGTGGTAGCACCTATTGTAGGTGGAGATGACTGAAAATGTGTTCTGGATTTGATGATCGCTTAAGCGATCTAGTGTATCACTTAAGCGATCTAGTATGTTTTATATAATGTAGCAAATCATAGATCGCTTAAGCAATCAGGTATATGACAGAAGATCGCTTAAGCGATTTGCTATAAGTCTGGTATATGGCTACAGATTGCTTAAGCGATCAGGTATATGGTAGAAGAATGCTTAAGCGATCAGGTATATGGTAGAAGAATGCTTAAGCGGTTAGGCTTATTTATA